TCACATCGCCTCCCGATTTGCTTTCTTCCAGCCCTCAAGCTTTGCGAGTCCAAGGCCCGGCGCCCTACGACCGCCAACGTAGCCCGAGCAACTCTGCGCCTCTCGAAGATGGCACCATACCGGAGTCACCGCAAATGCCTGCCACGAACACACGGGGCTTACCGGAACCGATGGGCATTTACGAAAGCATGATGGAATCACAAGAGAGGAAAAGAAAGAGTGCTGAGGTCCAGCCCGAACTTTCGGGAGAGGAATCCGACGACGTGGCCACGAAAATGGAGCGGAGGAAACGTGCTGCAATGAAAAAGAAGGCAGCCGCGCAAGATCTTACAGCTATTCCTGTGCAGCGCGCAAGCTCTAATGCGTCTGTCGAAGTGCCCTCAACGACCAGAAAGCCGAGGAAACCCCCGCCGAGGAGAATGCGATACCGTGCTCGACGTGCTGACGAGGACTCGACTGCATCCGAAGATGAGGGCGACGGGTTCACAGTAGCCGATTCCCAGGGCCACGCAACAGATCAGCAAACTCGTGCCAGAAAATCGCCTGACACCGTGGAAGTAGGCAATGGCACGAAGAATGGCCTTGTTTCGAGCAACGATGCGGTGCCCGACAGCGCCGGACCAACCCAGAAGTCTGCCTCAAATGGTGGGGTACCTGGAACAGAAAGTTCGGGCAACGGATCTCGGCCCAAGGACCTCCTTATACCGGAAACCAGTCCCAACAATACTCAATCTCGGCCAGAAGGGAGAGATGATGTACCGCTAGACGTGTCAGTAGACATTAAGAAGTCACAACAGGAAGAGGAACCAGGTGCACCGATGATCCAGCCAAACGATGTAGAAGCCGAGGTCGAGCTTCTACCCGAGACCCCAGAGCCCTCTGTCCCTCAGCCTTCTCGCCGCTCGAGCCGCAAGCCCAAGCCAACCCTCAAGGCACAGGTTCTCAAAGGTACTAATAGTGCCGTCGTGTCCTCAGATGCCGCCGCAACCAACGTGGCTACATCGCCAACTAAAGAGGAGCCAGATGAACGTCGACTGTCGCAGCGAAACGGTGCTAAAGTGGTCGACGAGGCGATAGCTACAGATGTAATCCATGCAGTATTGAATTCGACGGTGAACGGCGAGCCGCCTATGCCATCTTCACCGCCCCTACCAAAGGCTGTCAATGGTGTTGGGCCTCCAGGCACGGTTCTTAGTGAGAGTCTTGCCGAGCAAGGTCCGGCAACGCCCGACACTCGTATCCATCCCGCCGCTCCAACAGCTCCTGGCTCAACAACATCAACACTCAGCGTACTCACAGTCACGCCGGTTCCATCCTCCAAGAGTCCGACTGCATCACAAGAATCGGTGGAACTACCACCTCTCTCACCAGATAAGTCCAAACGTGGACGCCAGCCTGCCAAGGCCTTGCCTAGACTCGCCACTGGATCGAGAGCTCCCAAGCAAGGAACCCGCAAGCAGGTCCGGAGGGCAACTCGACTTGATTCGGCGTCGACAGATGAGCTGCATCGATCACCATCTGTCAACGGATTCGAGAACAGCATCATTCAACCTCCGAAGACTAGCGTCAGAGGCAGCCGCCTATCGATGCTCTCTCACACATCGACGTCTAAAGACAACGCTAGCAAGCCTCCTATTTTTGCTGGCATGGCATTCGCGATATCTTTTCAATCGAAAAAGGACGGGGAAAAAGCGGATCACTTCGAGCAACGAATGGGTCAAAGTCGCGAGATAGAGAAAATGATTCTACAGTGCGGAGGCTTGTTGTTGAGCAATGGCTTTGACGAGCTCTTCGAGCCCAACGCTCTCGGAAGCATGGCAACCAGCCCAACCTCAGAAACGAGGGACGAAAATCCACTGACGCTGACCCCGTTTGCGCAGACCATTGGTTTCACCGCCTTGATCGCTGATGGTCACTCTCGCAAGGTCAAGTACATGCAGGCTCTTGCTCTAGGGCTGCCGTGCATTTCGGACCGTTGGATTGCTACTTGCGTTTCGAAAGGGACTGTGGTCGATTGGCTCCCATACCTGCTCTGCGCTGGTCAGTCCACTTTCCTCCGCGATGCCATCCGATCGCGATATCTAGCGCCCTATCCGGCCACTGACGCACGACTTGTGGACGTCATTGAGAGGAGGCCGAAGATGCTGGAAGGGAGCCAAATCCTTCTCGTGATGAAAAAATCTAGGGCCGAAGAAAAGAAGATGCCATACGTGTTCTTGGCACATGTCCTCGGCGCCACACTCTCAAGGGCGTACAGCGTCGATGAAGCAAAGGAGACCTTGAGGCAGCGAGAACTACTTGAAGACCCGTTTGATTGGGTCTATGTCGATGAACATACCGGATCGGAGGAAGGATTGTTCAGCGCTGTTGCTCCCGCATCGAAGCCTTCGAAAGCATCGAAGAAGCGAAAGAGGGCTGCGCCATCAACAGACGACGCTCCTCGGCCGCCAAAAAGAATCAGGACGTTGAGCAATGAGCTTGTCATACAGAGCCTCATTCTAGGACGGATGATTGAAGAAGGTGAAATGGAGGTCTAAGTCACACGAGTGACCTGAATTGTTTTGCTATGTGAGATCTGGGATGGAAAAAAGGACCAGGGGAGTTGGTACAAGGCACTTTGACGGCGTTTGAGCATGGGACGGACATGTTATGGGGATGATACCTTTAAGCGAGAGGCAAGCCTTGATATACTTTTTGTCAACGACCAATATCGCCATAGTGATTCGAAATGAATCAACAGGATTGAAGTCATGTTTCCTGCGAGATGATGAGTGGGTTCAGCAGTGTTTCACGAGGAGCACAAAGTAAAACAAGTTATTTAGCGCGAAAACAGTAATCAATTCAGTGAAGTGATGGAGCCAGCCATGCCTTGTTAACAAAACGCCAAAGAACTCCTGATAGTAGGTACTTAGTTGCCCATCATTCCTGACCAATCTCGACACCTTTTGGCATTTTATGCCCAGGTCGGGGTCCCAATTCCCACGATTACTGCTTCCTGCTCACACTCGAGCCACGGCTGGGCGTGGGCGAGGGGGTGGTCATGCCAGTGGTGGCAATGGTGACCTTCTTCTTCTTCGGCTCCGCGCTGCCCTTGGCGCTCGTCTCGACCTCTCCAGCCTTCTTGACTCGGAGAGGGACAGGGAGCGCCGTGGGCAGGAGGCGGACGTTGGACTTGCCCACCCCCAGTTGGGCTCGGTGGGCTGCTGCCGCGGAGCCGAAGGAGCCGATGGCCACCAGGCCCTTGGGGAGTTCCGTTCTCTTCTTGGTGCGCTTGGTGACCCTGTTGCTTGTCTTTGTACTGGTGGGAATAGGGGCAGGGTCACCAGAGGCCTTGGCGGATGGGTTCTTGCCCTTGGTCTTGGGCTTCGGCGTCTTGGGATCGGTCTTGGCCTTGGGCGACTTGGGCTCGGTTGACTTGGCCTTGGTCTCAGCCGAGGTCTTCTTAGTGGGTTTGTCGACCTTGGCAAGAGCCTTGGGCGACGACTTGCCTGTGGCGGAGGAAGGAGACGACTTGGTGACGTGACCGGACTTCTTCACTCCGGATGAGATGGGCTTCAGGACGTTGATCTTGACCTTGGCCACTCTCTCGATCCGAATGTTGGCGGATCGAGGGGCGGGCTTCAAGAAAGGCATCTTGAGTTGAGGTGAGTGGGTATGGAGAGAATAGAAGAGAATAGGTATGGTTGAATGGTTAATCGTGATTCGGTTCCTGAGCTCTGTAGAGTAGAAAGATTTAGTCCCGAGAAGAGTGGTGGATGTGCGAGCAGGAGTAGCAAACCTTTGGATGGGATGATGCTGAATTATATAGGATGATTGAGGGAACCTCGATGGCCGACTGTGAGGATAAACTCGGGAAACGCAACGGGCTAGCCGTGATGGTGCAAGAGTACCAGACTCTTGAAAACTATCGCAGAATATTAGCCCTCCCGGTCTAACAGGGTGTCGTGGAGGGGATGCTTGTGATACTTACGACTGAGGATGAGGAAGGAGCTTTGGTACCGGACCGAAGCTGAAACGGTATCGGAGAAAAGCAGCGATTTGGAGAAGACACTGTGCGACTAAGTTAGGTTTGCTCTTTCCTTGGTAGCTGATATGGTGTGTCTTACCTGGTTTCCGGATGGATGAGGATATTGCGATGGGAAGTAGTTGAAAGGGCAGGTACCAGACCGGTCAAAAGTATCGTAGAAAGGGGGAATGAGAGAAGACCAGTCAATGGTCTTGAGAAAAGAATTAGTTCTGGAAAGCTAGGAGACTGGCTCAAGAGTTATTGGCGTGGGAAGTTGGAAAATTGAAAGAAGAGGGAGAAGTACCTGCTGAAATTGAGGAGAATGGTGAAAGGTCGACGGAGGAAGTTGAGGAAGAAAAATTGGAGCGGGAGAAATATTCAGGAGACCGGACTCTAGACTGTTAGAAAATGTGATTTCGGAAGCCTTGGTGAATGTGAACAAGTTGTGAGATCGCTTCTCGCTCAAGATTTTACGGTAGCCTGAGTCTTCAGGAGGCCATCGACAAGGGAAGGAAGGAGCGGAGTAGTATTACAATAAGGGAAGGGGCAGGACGAATACGCGGTGATTATACACTGGTCCCAGCCATCACCTTCTGATATCGATGGGAACACTGCCTGAGTGAAGCCAGAAGCTCGGTTCGGGAAAAGGCTGCATTGGGCAGCAAGTGAAGGAACACGAACATGATCGAGGTGGCTGAATTTGGTATCCAAGGGACGTTTGCGAAATTTCCGTGAGGCCCCTCACGGTACCGAGCCATCTCGCAGTGGCGGCCTTGTCTCTATCGTGTCATTATGACCAGAGCAAACTGTGATGCTCTCATTCTGGTGAGTTGGCATGGTTACTTCACGAAGTGAAGTGAGCCTCAGAACCTTGCTCTCAGCTGAGGCAGGGCCTAGATTGATGATTACAGGACACAGAGGATCAAATCGAAGTCACATTCTCTGTGAATGCTTGCTATAATCGCCGTCGTAGTCTACGGTGAATATTGTACAATTAGAGAGCAACCTCATTGAAGACAGTGAACATCTCATTGTCATCCGTAACACCCCGGCAGGCCTCATCATCCTGCTCGAAGAATCTCATCCAGTACTCAACAGCTCCGATGAGCTCCTTCATCTTCTTGGTGTAGACACCCTCCTTCATCTTTTCACTCTCGACCAGATCGCGGAGATACGCCTTGCGGCCTCTGATAAAGAGCTCGTGGAGCGCCTTACAGGTCTTGGGCGACACCTCAATCGTGTGTGAAGCCTAGCCGAGACCGCCACCGACGATGCCCTTGGCCCAAATATCATCCGAAACGGCCTTGAAGAACTCTTGGTTCTCCATCTCATAGTCCTTATCCGCCTGGACGTAGGACGAACGACAGGTCCTGGCTGATCCGTAGAGCTGGGTCACGAAGCCCTGGATTCGGATGCTGTCGACGCTGTATGTGCCCTGCAGCCACAGGGACTCGGAGAGGTTACTGGCCTCCTCGTCAGGGACAGAGTCGTCGTCGGTGAACTTGAAGCCCACGGAGAAGGCTGTCTTGACCGTGGTGGTCAGGCCAAGCATCGCCTTGGTGGTCGTGAGGAAGTTGCGAACCTCGGACTGAACTTTTGCAGGGAGCATGACTTCAACTGAGCCTTGGTCAGAACATGTGTTGAAAGCTTCCAGGCTTGAGATAGGATGAGGCTGCTATGAGAAAAAAGAACGAAAGATGACTTACGCTCACTGGGCTGGTGTCTCTTCTCGAGCTTCCGGGCGACGCGTGTTACAGCACAGAGAATGTTTCTGGACTTTAAGTCTTTGAATTTCAAGCGTGTCGGACGCATGATGAGCAGTTGTCCTTCGCGAACCTTGTTCGCTCACTAGCAATAGTTGGGATGAGTCCACAGCTTTGAAAGGTTGAGTCAAACATGCGAGTAGGTCTCGTGATAATATAAAAGATACACGTGGGAAACTGAATTCTGGCTTGAAGAATCCATCCCGGGGATGATGCTGCTGCCAACGCACTGAACTGCCGCTCTCATGGAGTTGGTGAGCGCAGCCGTGGTTGTTCAAGAAATGAGGTCTTGATCGGCCCCATCCGGCGCTTGGCACGGGCCGGGTCCGCCGATGCCAGCTCCACTCTTCGGCTTGAGCCCTGGAAGCCTGAACCCTTCAACGCCCAAGAGGATCCTACGGCTTGAACGACATGCCTCAATCTTGTGGGAGTTATTCCAATCATTTGGTTTCGAATATATCTCTTTCCCACGTTAGATGCACACTGAACACTTATCTAAGTAAATGTTGTTCGCCGGAGAATGAACACAACTGTTCAGCGTTGACCCGAGCTTAAAGGCTTCTGCGCACGGAAGTTCTTTCAAATGATTTCGAAAGGAAACACAAAACTTTTGGAAGCAAGAAATCCTGAGATCAGCTACGCTGCAGCATAACCTCGGCTCTTTTTACCAGGGCGTCAACAAACTTATTGCCCCCTGTTGAAACCTCGGCCAGGCGGCGTGCGATCAGATCGGCCGGCTTGATCACATACTCCGGTACGACAACGTGACCCTTCTTCCACTCATACAGAAACTCGTGCTTCTCTCCCTTGCTCGCCATCTTCTTCGACCTGATAAACCCCTCCAGGGATCTAGGATTGTATGTGGCGTGATTCGCCACGCGGTAGTTGACAGACGGGTGGATCTCCTCATTTGTCTGGCCGAGATCATTGCCAACATCGTCCTTCTTATACTCTCCAGGAGTTCTAAACTTCGAGAAGAACGGCATGGCTCTCAAGATGGGCGCGAATATGTCGACGATTGGCCCCGTGGCCCAGGCGTCTTCCGGGTCGTACAAAGGGGACTTGAAGAACATCTCGTAAATTTTGCTGTAGTCCAGCCCCTGGCGCACGCGCTGCACCACCCAGCTCATACCGAAGGGTTGCTGATGGCGCGAGCGATGGATGAGCCGGTTTCGAGATAAGATTTCGCGATCGGCCAGCGTCGACATTGTATACTTCCCATCCTTGTATCCGTGCTCATCGTCGAGCTGGATGAAGGTCTTGATCTGGTCGCACATCCATGTGAATGAAATCAGAGCAATTTCTGCGACATTGTCAGCTTACCCACTAGGTCCGGCAGATGATCGTCTGAAGACTCACGCTCAAAATCAAAGGGGAAGCCGTAGAGAAGGCCTGGATTACCGCCTCCGATATTGATATGTCCGCCAGGGAACCAAACCTGCCGCAGCTCAGGCCGATCACCGTTGAGCTGGTCCGCCATCTCACGCTCGATCAAGGCCTTCCATGCTTGGGAAAGCTCCTCTTCTGTGGCCTTCGAGTTCGCTTTCAAAAGTGACCTGAACTTCTTCGCAAGCTGATCTTTTGGCTGTTCATGGCAGCCGGGACATTGCTCGTTCTTCAGCGGGAGACGCCAGAGCGTTGGCGTAAATGGCTGTCGATGCTCGTCGAGCGCGAGTGCATGGTAAGCATGCCTGATATCTACTACTTATCAGAGGTGCTCGGCTTCCGAGGCTCGCAAGCTTGCGCTAGACTCACATCTACTCAGGGATGGGTTGTGAAATCCAAGGTCATCGACGCCAAGCCAAGGGGCAAGTCTAGCGATTTTGGTAGTCGCGCCCTGCGTCCAAGTCAAGCCGGGAATTCCCAAACTACCGACTGTGTCAAATACTCCGACGACCTCAATGGCTCTAGTAAACTCTGGGGGAAGATTATGCGGCTTTTGGTCCCAGTGATGATCTTCTTGCTCGTGACCTTGCCAGTCTTCGAGAACCTTTGCACGAACACCGGTGATCCACTGTCGGTACTCCTTCGATGAACGGAAGTTGAAGCTGTCATTATGGCCATGTCTTCGGTAGAGGTCGTACAGAGCCGGGAAGTCGTCCATTTCCTGGGGCTGAATGATTCCAATATCTGTAATAAGACCTGCAACAGAGCGAGCCGTGTACGCCCCTCGGGAGAAGCCAAAGAAAAAGAGTTGGTCGTGCGGGGCATAGTTCATAACGATGAAGTTGTACGCCTCGATGACACTGGCCACAAGCCCGTCGCCAAAAGTCGCCTGCCTGCCCCTCTCGAGGATATTCACGCCACCACCCGTGCCGACGCCGGCGCTGTAGAAGACGACCTGCTGGCAGATGCTATCCTCTTTTCCATTCTCTTTGACCGATCCCGTAAGCGCGACGGAGCGGGCTAGGCGGGTCACGTTGGATGGAATGTTCTGTTGGCCGCTGACGGAAGATTGCCAGGTCCCGTCGCAGCAGATAACTATGCGCTTGGGGGTAGATTTCTGGCCCTTGTCTGGTACGAGAGTCTCGCGAGAAACTTGCAGTTTATCTACTTCCTCGAGGTAGTTGGCGGAGAGAAGGGTGTCTTTGGCTTCATTCGTCGCCACTGTGTGGTGGGTCTTGACGCCTGTCGTCCCTTGGACGAAAGATCGCCAAAGGTTTGAGGAGTTTGTACTTGAAGGCGAGTTGGGCGACATGTTGAACTTTGAAGAGCGGATGACTGGCGATAATCAATTGTGGCCTACTAGGGATTAGATGGCCATGGCGCAGAGGTGGATATCAAGCAGATAAATGTATGATAGTGGAGGCAGGAGCTCTCTCATAGCTGTATGAGCCTTTCTCGCGTACGAAGAGAAGTTATTGCAGCTAAGGCTGAAGGGCTGAACGAATTCCCGCGCAGATGCCGTTTCCAGTCAAGCCAATCCAGCCGAACGCGGTGCGGACACAAGAATCAACAGATGACTTTACACGTGAAGATTACCTTCTTGTATAATCTTACATGACCTTTGTCAAAAACAAGAAATCTTCTTCAAGTTTTGTTTTCATAGCCGATAAAATACCACATGTGAATCAAAGAAAGACAGCCTTGAGGGCCGAAGCAATCTGAGACAACAATGCCGGTTGAACACGGCGAGAATTCTTCGCAAGGACAGGTAAGTTTCCCCCTCCCTATCTCGGAACGGCTCGTGGCTAGCGGCAATGGCATGCTTGAGCGCGTCTCCATCCTAGCACCAAGTCCCGCGTTCGGCACTCCGTTATCTCAACTGAACCCGTGCTTTCAGCTCACCAAGCATTCCACGACGCGTACTAAAATCATACGTAATTGAGGCCGACCACCTCAAAGTCCTATTCCCGTCTCCGGCGGCCCAAGATAACTCTCCGCGATGGTCCCGTTCACCGCCAACACGATCTTCTCAAGATAGACCTCTGGCGAATTGACCTGCCAACGAAGAGTATGCTTCCCCACGCCCATCCGCGGCAGCTGCACGACCTTTGTCCACACATGATCGGCCACATTGTCATTCCACTCTGGGGGTGTATCACCCGGCGTAGCAGGGTCGCCAAGCACGCGTGTGAAGTTCGCGGTGCCGCTACCCTCAGCACCATCATCCGCCAGTGCAAGGGAGAATTCCATTGGGAGGTTTGGGTCTGTGTCGAGCGCACCGTTGATGTAGACCGTGGCGTTGATTGCTTTCGAGATGTTGGAGAAGATGTAGATGTCGTAGTCCACCCATGCGGCACGAGCTGCTCCGCTGGCCTGTCGAGCGGCAGTAAATGGTCTCAGGGCGATGGATCCTGATTCTGAGCGGGAGCCAAGGTGCTCGATGTGCGTGAAAGCCACGCCAGCATCACTCTCAGACTTGGCGGATGCGCGTTGGTAGTGAGGCCCCTCGATGGATATGAGGCCGGCTGTCTCAGGGAACCCGACGAAGCCCTCAGGGGCACGATGGTTCAGCACGGGAATATGGATCAAGTCAAAGTAAGGAGCCGGATCCCACTCCACGCGAATCGAAACGGTCTCGTTGAAATCTGTAGGTACCGAGTCCCAGTCAATGGAGACTTCGATTCTCTCCTCAGGTTTGTCATCGGACAAGACGCCGAAAGTACTTGGCACAAGAACCCAAGGGTAAGGGACCTCCAGCGTCCAATTGATGGGCTTTCGGTGATCGCCACGGTGAAACAGCTCGATAAGTCGGGATTTTGGCCCGTGAGGTTCCATAGCCGGCAAGACTGGGGAAAAGCCCTCGTCGGTTGGTAATGCCGGATGGATAGAGCCACAAATCCGGCCTTGTCGGTAGGCGCTGAGGGAGTTCTCGACGTATATGCCGAGCTCGCCGACGCCCCAGTCGAATGCTTGCCGTTGTTGGACATATGAAAGGTTAGCAACCACGTCGCTGGACGAGGGCCGCCAGTCCGTGAGATCCATGTCGTACTTTGGCGTAGTGAGTAAGCCTTTCCATTTGCCGTCCAGCATCGTATCGTATTCTTCAGTGAGGTCAAAGTCATCGTCAAAGTGCTGTAGAACCTGTTCTGCGATCAAGTTTGCAGAATTCCGCCTCTCGTAGCTGTACTGTCTATTTCTTCCCGAGCTGATCACGATGAAATGATAATGATATCCGATCAAGGCGGGATATGTGAGGATATGGAACAATGCGATGCGACGATCCTCTGGCATGGCCTCGTGTAGAGCCTTAGCCTTTTCTGCTAGCTGTCTCCAGGCCTCGAGGACGCGTTCTGCCTCACGGTAGTTAAGGATAGAATATGTAATGGGTTGTAGTATCTCGAACTTGCGCATCCCGACCAGGTGGCTGTACGTCATGAGCGCAGAAGAGATCTCTTCGGCGTGCTCCGGACCAAAGTCACGAGTTGCGAGTGCCGTCAGGTAAGACGGTATTTTGGCAAAGCCGAACCTGCTCGTGTTCCATGCCATGTCCATGGCAAAAGAAAGTGGTAACTCGTTGGGCTTGATGTCGCCTACGTTCATGACCCAGATTCGTCGGGTGCCGCGCTCGTAAGCCTGAGATAGCTCTTTGTAGACTTTGGGCTAGATGCGAGTCAGAAGTCCTAGTTATCCTACGATATTTTCCTTGAGACTGGAGTGGACTTACAAAGTTGTTGGTGTTTTGAGACTTCCAGCTCTTTGGTTTGCCAACATACTGGAAGTGGAAGTAGACCTGTATAGAGACGATATCAGGATCTAATTATCTAATGAAATTCAGGCGACGACTCACTCCAATGCCTCCGACTCTCTCACTCTCTAATTCGGTCGGGAGTCGTTGAATATTTCCCCAATTGTCGTCAGTGAACATCAAGGTCACATCTTCAGGAGGATTCAGGCCAGCTGCATAGTATGTGGCAACTTCCTTGTATATGGTCCACACCTCTTGAGCAGTAGCCAAAGTCAGTCAACAGGCTTGGATGTGTAGCACAGGCAACTGCTGGAAGGGGGTTTTTGAACTCACGGTTTGTCGCCGTGACGTTTCCGTGATACTTTGCCAAGATCTCTCGTTCTGTCGCAAATACATCCTCAAGGACCGCAATCGGATCATCGGCATCGATGGGACCATCATCAGTGCCTCGCATTCCCAATGTAAAGTAGGACTCATTGTTGCCCGCTCGGCGAATCCCCTCGTCCATGAAGGCGACCACGTTCTCTTTGTTGTTGACCCAGTCCCAGTCGCCCTTTGGATCTTTCTTCCACTCATTGCTTGCTCGCTGCATGGGCTCATGGTGGCTAGTAGACACGACAATGCCATAATCATCCGCCATTTGCTGACTCCATGGGTCGTCGGTGAAGAAGATCCTTCCCGGCTTAGGAATATAACTTGCCCACATCGCAGGCCAGATGAAGTTGGCCTTCAGTCGGAGAAGCAGGTCAAAGACGTGCTGATATAACTCGGAGTCAAGGGTAAAGTTGCCCACGTTGTTCTTCTTCCTCCCCCACCAGCCGGTGAGTGCGGGTGCTTCGTCATTGATGAAGAGACCTCGGTATTTCACGCTGGGCTCGCCATGGGTTGTGATCTTGTTGAGAGCGTAGATTTGGGTGTGCTTGGTTGTCGGCACGTCTGCCCACCAATGTAGACTAACCAGGATGTAATCAGCTCGACAAAGTCTCTGGACAGATTTCTGATGCCTTCCTTAATCTCGCAACCCTGCGGTAGGGGTGTTTGACATTCTAGACGTCGGATCCTTGCTTGAATGCAGAAGAGGAAGGCTAGGAGACTTACGGCGACTGTCCACTTTGCTCAGAAAGGGTATAAATGCCAAAGATTACAGCTCTCTTATCGCTTCCCGCAATGACAAGAGCGCGGGAGATCCCCGGTAGAGGGCTCTCAACGACCTGGGTTCGAAACGTTTCCCACTTCCCGCCAATGTCCTCGACTTCTATCTTTCCGCTGTTGACAAGCTCCTGAATAATAGCTGATTCGACTGTTCCAGCAATGATTGCAACATCGGCGATGATTGTCGAAAATGCTGCCGTTGCCCCGGTTAGATTATCTCCTTCCTGGGCTGTCCACAAGTGGACGGATGGCTTTGTTCCTGTGATTTGCTCGAAGTCGCCAGCCAGGTTATTGACTGCAATGCCGATACCTACAGGGTCGTCGGCGTCTTGGATTAAAGTCGCGTCCTGAAGCTCGATAGATCCTTCCGAGGCTTCAAACGCGATGAAAGATTCTTCCAGTAGAGCTGTGATGAGGCTAGCGCATGCCACCAACCACATCCATGGGATGCTACTGTGTACCTTCATAATGGATCATCGGCAAGCCTTACTGGAATATAGTAAAACATACATGGATGAGATGAATTTGATAGAACGAAGGTGGTTGCGTTACTCTAGCTGTGCAACTTGGATATATACACATGAACTGTGTTACACAGCATCGCGTGATGACCGGAATACTATGTCGTGACAAATGCCATTTGACGACCTTCGTATCTTCCATGATATGTCTGTGCAGTTGAACGTAATGGTAGCATGGAAAGCCTGATGACGTCCATAGCGGCACACCTCATGAGGTGAACGGGGAAGGGTAAGCATTCCCGTGGGAACAAGGCGACTTCATTTGTTGACCGAGTGAGTATTTGCAGCTTGACAATCTTGGCGTGGGGTTGCGGGGTTGAGGACGAAGCAAGAGGGCATCGGGTGGTCTTGGAATGATCCATTGCAGTTGTGCAAGCGGACGAATCATTTCCTACTTGAACTCAAAGGTTACAGATTGCCAAGCCAGATCAGAGCTTATTTACCCGGAAGGAGACCTGCATGGCCTTCATGTACCCCGACAGGATTATCCCGATGTCCGAACATCTCTTGGATCAAGACGATCATTATTGGACAGTGTGGGTATGGCCATGAACAAAAGCAATGCTGTTCTTGTAACGCCTCCTCTATCTCACTTGGACGTTGACGTTTCGATTCTATCATCGGTTTGTGCGGTTGTAGCTGCGCGTCGCTAATCTTTGGTCTCGTCATGTACATCTCCTCTCTTCTGAAAGACATCACTGGTTGTGAAGAGACGTGGTTGGCTTCTAGGAACACCCGAAGTATCTCAATCATCATCCACGTTGCCATCCGAATAGTACTCAAAGGCCGTGGGCAGTGGTGCGTCTTTGCTGTTGGGGCCGTCCGGATCAACTTCATCCACCAAGTGCTTCTTGACTTCCTGCGCGACAGGCTGGGTAGAGTCCACAGGGGCAGAGCCTTGGACTGGGCCCGGTGAGTGGTGGGTATGGTCTGCTCGCAACATCGTTGTCATCCACTTTGCCCATTCCCAGGGCTTGTCTCGGCCAGATGGCAAGCTGTTGAAGTACTCCCACCCCATGACTCCTCCAAACCGCGCATAACGATTTCGGAGCGTCAGAAGCACAGCGCCGAGCATTTCCCATGGGACCCATCCGCCACCGTTCTCAGGATTCGTGACCAGGCCCATGACGACCTTCTCCGGTGCCCAGCCCTTTGCGAGGATCATCTCGTACATGATCGGGTTACTGACGTCGCCCCATCCGCAGTAGAACTGAGCATTGTACCAGGCAATCTCTTTCCCTCGCATGACCTCCAGAGCCTCGTAGTCGAAGCCACTCAGGTTGTTCTCGGAGTTCAGCAGTGCCGCGGCCACGGGCGCCATAGAAATGAGGAAGTCCTTGCCAAAGTCTTGTCGCACGCGGTCAATGAGCCGTATAACACCGCCTAGGCTCATCTCCTCTTCGACGTCGAGATCGATACCATCCAGCCCGCGTGAGCGAAGCATGTCGCGCAAGGGTATGTAGTATTTTTCAAACTTCTCCTCGTCCCCATCCAGCCTCTCGTAGGAGCCCTTAGCGGCACCGCCGAGCATACCAAGTACCTTGACGCCGCTGGCCTGCAGCACCCGTAGCTCAGCCCATAGTGTTAGGAATCGCGGGTTATCGGGGGTATGGTCGTTCAAGGTAAGGCCGTGGGGATCATCGTTAATGTGTATCGCCGCGAGAATTACGTGGGTGACGCTGATCCCTCCTTGGGTAAGGAGGGGGAGGATCGAGATGGGCTTGCCGTCGGGCGTGTGATGTGTTTGGTAGTAGGTGATTACCCGTGGGAGAGGCTGAGGCGGTACGGGCGGCATTGGAGCGAAAGAGGTTGGCTGCCTCGATCCCGCGAGGATCGAGGGCTTCCGTATGGGATTGGAACGACAGACGCGACGCGTGGGATGGTGGAAGATCGGGTGGTTGCATGCGCCAGCGCTTTGGAAGAGCTAACCATGCGGGGGTGGAAATTGGGAGGTGTTCGGATTGACGGCCCCTCCGCGAGGCCCTGCTGAGAGCTGCGTCATCAGGGCCCTCGCAGCTGACATAAGCTCATTTCTATTTCATCCCTGCTTCACTCACTCTCTCGCTCACTCACATCGACATCTCACCTCATCGACCATGAAAGTTGCGCTTAAGTCATGCATTTTGAACCATTTATTTGATGAATCCTTGATTTATTGGAACTGATACTCGAAAACTTGCATTCATCTTTCTACCGTGTCACCATCTACACCCACTAGAGCTTACAATCTGAGGCCGCCGCATAGATGAGAAGCCTATTAACAACGTCGATCAACTACTCCTACCAGATTGGCTGCTTCCCACCCTTATCCATGACTCTAGTCTTGCTCGGATACTGGGATACCACGTGGAAGCACCCAACGGAATACACTGTGAGAATAACCCCAATGATATAGTACAACTGTTGATCGAAGATTTCCGGAATAGTGAGCACAAAGAACCCGAAAGGCGCAAAGGTCCAGATGGTGCCGATGATGTTGACGACGCAGAAACCGAGAGATAGTCCATGCTGGGACCCAGCCCTCAAGTAGTGATGCGTAGGCCCAAGGACGATCAGGACGTTGGTGAAGCAGAACCATTGCATGACGGATCCCTCACCCATGAACTCAATGGCCAGAAGCACGATCGAGTACATGCCCATCTGCAGCGCCAGGGCGTATGTAATGGCTGCCGACATTGATGGCTGCTTTCCGAGGACATTCCCAAAGCTGGCATCGCGCTCTTTGGTGATGGATCGATGGATAGTCCATACTTCCAGCATCGTCCAGAGGAAGAGCGCTATTGACGTGCCTCTCAGGTACCAGTGCTCCCCGTACTGAGAGGCGGCCTTGCCAAGGGTATAAGACCATGTCGAGTCGTGGGCGAGGTAGAATGAATGCATCCAGAAGGGCATCGGGCCCTTTCCTTCACGTAGGGTGAGCCTGACAACGTAGGTATACTGGAGGTAGCCGATGATGAAGCTGACGGCAGAAGCGATCAAGATTGGAGTATTGTCCAAACGATAGACCTCCGTTATACGCTCATAGTAGTTAATTGCCGTCATGTTGCCGATAGGTCCACTGAGGTGAGGTGATAATTGTAAGTGGAATCGTGTACGGAGTTTGGAAGAGATTCGACGCCGGCAAGCGGATTCAATCCAGCACTGGAAACCGAGTAGAAAGAGATGATTCCCAGCAGCATTCTGACAGAGTCTTCTTATAAGACTTCAGAATCTAGTCTAAGGGAAGGCAATGCCCAGACCTTCATAGCATGATCTAAGTCAAGGTTTGAAGACATCGGCGCCGAGATTCCAAGTCGAGACAGTCTAAGCCAGCGCCAACGCTATGGCCCCCCTCCAAATACCGGCAACCAGGTTCTCGACACGGATGTCCCTGGTTTCTGGGATTCTAAGAATGCAAGTGGGATGTTGATGTCTCCGCTTCATCAGGGTCCAACGCACACCGCTTGAACTCTGACATGGGCATCTCAATGTTGTCAGCCAAGCTTCGGCCGAACACATCGCCGCTCAAGCTGACTGTGCAGAATGCGCTGGCCAGTGGCCAGAAGATGAAATCAGAAATCACGTAAGATTCAAAGCTCATGAAGACCTAGATAACTTCTTCATACTGGTTGATCAGGCGCTGAGGCACAAGACCCCGTAACACAACTACGCCAGCGTGCACAATCCCCCATCTCACCGTCGTCAAAACGTCCGCCATAATCCAAACCAAGCCATTCGTCCTCTTCCGCTCTCTCCGTAGAGCGACCTCGCCCCGAACCGCGCGCTCCGACATGCTCGCAACCAGAGCCTCCATCTCACCTTGCGGATCCCAAATCATCTCGTCGTCCTCAAAGTCATCCTCATCATCAAAGGCGTCAAACGCCCGCCGCGAAGATGCCCCGTACGATCGACTAGGTCGCGCGTGGTGATAGGCCCAGCAGGTCAGCGTCGCCAGGTACAGACACCACGGCACGTGGAAGAGGTTCATGGCCTCCATGCTGTTCAGCGTTCTCTTGGTTTCGACTAGCATTCTCGCCGCGTGCCATGCTGCTTCGGACGCGGATTGCTTGGATCGGTCGGCGTTGGTGTCGGCAGACCCTCCTCGATCTTGTCTTGGGACGAGTGGGTGGTTTTGCTGCTGCTGCTGTGTCTCGCAAGCTGACGCAGCCCATTTCTTCACAACCTGTGCGGATCTGTGGTAGTCTCGTTGCTGTACTGGCCTACCGAGGATGTGACGAGCACCAGCGTATATCTGAACATCCAAGAAGTCCATGTTGAGTAAAGCTTGTGCTGAATGATAGAGAGCCTTGTATGCTGCCGCGAACGACTCGAACTCCACTTTCCGAGTCATATCTTCGTCGCCCTCCTGCCGTTGAACTCCCTGGGCCTGGGAGGCAGATCCCCGTTGTAATTGGGACGCGAAGCTGCCGCAGAATGCATCAAAGTCGTTTTTCCAAGCGTCGTAGGCGGTACTCAGCAATTTGCGCCAACCCATCCCGAAGCTATCTCCGGAGACGACACCCAGAGCCGTCTGATCACGCCGGCCCATGTCCCAAGAAATGGACATCAAGCCATGAAGAACAAGAATCCTCGAGAATCCAGTGAGGCCAGCTGGTCGCGGGGCTGAAGGTGTAAGATAAGATTTCAGAGTGGGCAAGTAGAACAACCTCTGGTCGCTAAGACTTGAGCGCCATGCCGACGCCCATGATGCGGCATCCCGAGCTTCCCATATGCTCTGGCTGCACGGTAGTTCCAGTCGGAGCTCAAAGGCTGACATGCAGAGACTCTGGCAGAAGAGAACTGCGTGCTGAGTATCCCACATAAAACAGAGCAAGGCCAACCTGGGCTTCTGTTAGCCCTCTGCTGACTACAACGAATGCAAAGGGAACGTCAAGACATACCTTTTCTTCTGCTCCGCATCGGCCCACTTCCTCCATGCCTGGTCCAAGATGCCGGCGTTATCTTCGCCCGAGACTGGTGGCGGACCCGGCGGTCGCACAGTCTGGCAATCGGAACGGCGAATGAGATTGATCAGAAGTCCATGGAACAAATGGCTCATGTCGTGTTGTTTCTGACCGGCACGCGACTTGCCAAAGCACTCGACCAGCAGGATTGTCTGCAATGTCCAGAGCTCTGGTCTAGGTGAGAATCCGGCATGGGCAAAGATGCTCGGCCGGATTACATCATGTATGCAAACAGCAAGTTGATGACAGTCTTTGCTCGAGTACGTAGCACCTAACAGCAGGATGGACAACAGTAGCAAAGGTTCGGTATTCCTGCAGTCAAATGTCTCTAGGTGGATGAGTGGGTATGCGGTGTTGAAGCGAGTGAAGAATAGCTCCAGATACGACTTTAGTGAGTCTGCTGATAGTAACGGGTGCTCCCATATTGTGGCGCGTTGGTCAGGCAGGTTGGGCTTGGCGCCGTCAATGACGTTTAACAACCTCTCTCTCACATCTTCGCCAATAGGAGGGATTGTTAGCGGCTTCCTCAAGGAAGACAGTGGTCTTTCTGGTTCGGTCGGAGTTGGCCGGCTGGGTGCAGGGTAACGCTGCCGAGCTGCTGATGGCGCATCGCTAGGTCTTCGAAACTGCGCGATGTCTGAGCTCCTCTCCCTGGAGTTTCTCATCGCTTGCCGTCTGGCAGCTTCACTAGCGGTTGTTGAGGTGTTGCTTGGTGGATCGGACGACCTCTGTCTCTCCTGATCCTTGCTAGTCATCTCCATGGGCTCTGTCCACAGCTGTGCGCTCTTCATCGACTCTGGCGTGATGGCGACGTTTGCTTGCGATTTAGGTTGGGATTGATTGTTTGCCATGTGAGTTTCAAAGTCTTGAGCTAGATTCGAAGGTCTCGGCGCTGCGGTGAGGGCTGAGTTTTCTTGCATGTTGAATAGCCAGTTGTAATCCAGCGCAGTCGTGTATGGCATATTAAAGGAGCTGGCAGTGTCGGGTTGGAAGATCTGATCGTAGTCCAACTGTTCGCTCATGAATGATGTCTCACCCCAGCTACTGGACTGGGTCGTATTGATGTCGAAGTGGCTCTCCGATCCTATAAAATCGGAAAACTGTAAAGAAGGAGGGAACCCCGAGAAGTTGGTGACAGGTTCAGTTGGATTGAAAACGTCTTGACGTCCAATGGAATACTGTTGAGCGTCGCTCTGGCTTCCTGGCCGAAGATCCAAGGTTGAGCGCCTGTGAAACTCTGGTGATATATTGTCGATGGAGTAGTCTTGGTCTGGCTCAATGTCTAAGCCGGACAGACTATGATCCCCGTCGTGGGGTTCCGGGTCAGGTGAAGGAACTTGTTGAGCTTGAGGACGCTCTTTTCCTCCCGATGCCCGGCCCCGTCCAGACGGATTCGGGCAGGGCCGCTTTTCTACAACAGACCCGTCCGGGGCCTTCCAAGATCGCTTTCGTGTGTCTAGAACGCCGCAGCCTGGTCCGCCTGCTTCGAGATCTTTTTGGCGGTGACGGTCCATATGCCGTTCTGATTGTAGATGAATATGAAGTCAGCGGGCTATTCGTTTTCGGAAGGCTCGAGATTGAATTACAAACGGTAATAGTTGTCGGCATATTGCTTTACTGTTTCGTCTTTGAATCTACTTACTCAACAGATCAGGTCGCTTGAAGTGGGCATTGCATAAATCGCAGCTCAACCCGCCAGGCATATGGTTGAGAGCATGACGTTGCATATGCTCAGCCCGAGTGAAGCGTCTGTTGCACCCAGGGTGCGTGCAAGAAAAGGTCTTGTCTTCGCCCATCAAGCCTTCTGAGCTCTCTGAGCGACGATGGTTCTCACCAGCACCAGCCATGGCGTAGGAATTGTTCATAGTTTCACCGCCGAGTTGCAAATTACACCAATCCACTTCCGAGAAAGGAACCTATGTCAGTCGACCCCTGGCACAGCGAAGAAAAGAAAATTTCGATAACTCGGGCCTTAGGAAGAGACTTGGAAAGACTGGCAAAGTTGGCAGAGTGAAACCACGGTTCAGGTGTCTCGCTCGCTTCGATAGGAGCTCATAGATGGGGGAATGGGGATGGACATAGCATCCGAATGTGCCGTCCCACTTCTCCGCATTTCCTCCGGCTTTGAAGAGTAACGATACCCGGCTTCCTAGGCCGAGTAGAATCTCCATACTAGGAAGTATGAGAAATCTCCGATTTGTTCATCGCACAACATCCCGGCACTAGGTCTAGGTGTCGCCCCTCCCCCACTCTCGAAGACTCCCGCCACCACTGATAAGCATCGTCTCTGGCCTCGCAATCCGTATCCGACAACACCAACATAAGTCCGAGGAGATAAGAGTGGGGTACAGGCGACTTCGGCGTGCTGGTAATATGCTCCAACTGCGGGCGTATCTTATCTAGCTACTCTAGATATGCGACACATGTAGATACGAATCGAACTTTACGTAGGACAATTGATGTTCGCGGAGTTGCATATCCGGAGAGAGGAGATGTATCAATTATGGCGATCGCGTTGAGTGCACCGAGTAAAGCCGGCAGTGGCCGTGAACTACGCCGCTAACGACAGTGAACGGATGATGCGGCCATTCCACTCTTCGAGAACGCTGTGGCATGCATTTGTAAGAGCTAAGATAGTATCTAGCAGCCATACAGCTGGATTATTGTATACAAATTTGCCAGTGTACCAACAACATCTAACATAACACAGTCAACATCAGATGACAGGAAGTTGCATAAGGCCTATGAGTATATGCACTAAAGAATTAGTTGTCTCCTTCAAGACAGCATAGAACAGCATAACATTTGCGATCCCAAGAGTAGACTGGAGCTGTGCAACCAGACACCAGCATCATGTCGCCGTCGACTTCGAGGAGTTATTTGATTCAAGAAAAGCAACAGCGCGATGCGAGTACTAGGCTTCACGTGAGTCTTCATCTACCACACGGTCAATGAAAGTCGCCGAACTAATTTCTCCTATGCTAGGTGATAATTGTGGGAGCGGGTCTAGGTGGCCTAGGCGCCGCCATCTCGACGCTGCTGGCTGGACACGATGTCACGGTTCTAGAGGCCGCCTCAAATATCGGCGAGGTCGGTGCGGGCATCCAAGTCCTCCCGAACGCCGCCCGCGTCCTATTCTCCTGGGGCTTGGAGGAGAAGCTGGAAAAGTACGCCACAAAGCCCCAGAAATGCAACTTCATCGGCTGGAAAGGCAACTTCCTGTCCGAAATGGATTATCACCAGTACGCCGCGGCGGCGGGAGATTTCCCCTTCTGGGATTTTCATCGCTCCGACCTGCATCGGTGTCTCCTCGAGCGCGCAGTAGAGCTTGGCGCGAAGCTCGAGACGAATGCAAAGGTCGATACTTTTACAATCTCACCGGATGACACGACGGCTACGGTGTACCTCGTTGGCGGTCGCAGCCTGACGTGCGACCTTCTCGTTGGCGCGGACGGCATCAACTCCAAGCTGAGGGAGGAGTTCCTATGCAAGCCTGATCCACCTCAGCTGACAGGGGACCTGGCATATCGACTGCTTTTGAACACGGCCGACATGCTCAAGGACCCCGAATTGAGGCACTTTGTGGAGAACCCCCAAGTCAACTACTGGGTTGGACCGGACAAGCACGCGGTGAACTATGTTCTCAAGGGCGGTCAGCTCTTCAACATGGTTTTGCTGGTGCCGGACGACATGCCCGTCGACGGCGGCAACACCCTGCAGGGAAACATTGAGGAGATGCGGGGCCATTTTGCAGGCTGGGATCCCCGCATCGGCAAGATGCTCCAGATGTGCGATGAGGTTCTCAAATGGAGACTGTGCATCCGGCCAGGCCTGGAACCAACGTGGTCCCATCCGTCTGGCGCCTTCACGATGCTCGGAGACGCCGTGCACGCGACGCTGCCTTACCTGGCCAGCGGGGCGGGTATGGCGCTCGAGGACGGAGGGGTTCTGGGTCTCTGCCTCGCTCGACTGACCGACACTTCAGCCGCATCAAAGCGACAGGCCCTAAAGGTCTACGAGGACTGCCGACGGGAGCGGACGGAGAGGGTCGTCCGCCGCGGAACATACAACCAGTGGATCTATCACCTCCACGACGGGCCAGAGCAGGTTGAGCGAGACGCGAAGTTCGAGGAGTTTGAGGAGATGGACGCGAAGTGGCTGAGCGGGGATTCAGCCGTGTTACCCGCATCTCAGGAGACAGGAGATGACCCCTTTCCGTGGAGGTATCATGGCGTAGGGAGGTGGTTATTGACATACGACATGTGGAAGGATATCGAATCGAAATGGCCCTCCGACTCGGCCGGCACATCGGCAAAAGGAGGAAACCCAACCCCTCGGGCAAGTTTGTAGAGCATAAGCTTATTAACCTGTAAAAAAGAAAGTACAAACTTTGAATAATACGAGAGCCTTAAGCCGTTGTGGCCTGTTAATTCCCGGCTGGATCGGGCCCTTGTAGGTTAGCTGCGATCCTAATTATGCAAAAGGAGGAATAGTAAACAATAGTCGCAAAGCCTGCCTTACCGTTTCCCCTGCTCCTTTGTTTTTGGTTCGATAGCCTGGCGGCTAGGCTTTAACCAAGATGGAAAACCTCCGGCGGGGGGGTTATGGAAGCTAGACAGTTTTGGGCAATGTTATTAACCACATCAATCACCAGCACACTCGCGAGAACGTCAAAACGGTATCACCCTGCGTGAGGGCGTGCAGGTATTGGCAGTCCCGAGGATTTGGTTCGTTACCAAGGATACAAACAACTCAACCCAGCCAGCTGGGCCAGCTGAAGCAGCTGAGCGTTATATTGACTCTAGCACAGTGGAGAAGGATGCCGTATTTCGTCCAATAATGGCTTAAGATGTCTTGGACTGAGAGAGATTAAGCAACACCGACCACGTCTTACCGTCCCCAGGCCGCGTTTCCCATCCCATGTCCATGTCTGAGGGGTAATATCCTCGGAGCCCTCGAGGACTTCAACACCACCAGAATGGAAGAGCCGCGTACGAAAATAAGGTCGACTAAGGAAGAAGCTAAGAAGAAAAGGGGTACGAAATCCGGAGGGCTGGTAAGCGCGCCGCCTAGCGAGCCGGCGCCTGAAACCAACTAACATAGGCCGGCGCACGGTGCCTGGCAGTCCTGTCCAGAGGAAAACTTGGGAACATCAACATGCGAGTGGCACTCACGATAGTACGAGGAAGCTGAACGACAGCTCGCCTAATCAGCGCTTGGTCAAGCTTTCTAGCATGGAATAGGGTGACGAGGAGTCCAGAACCATGGGCTCGCCCACGTGGAGGCTTGCCCACGAGGCAGATTCACGGCGGCCGCTTGTTGTCATTTTGCTGAATCGTGAGTAAAAGCATCCTGAATACATAAGTCTGCGATCTTCCTCCCCATCTCCCGATTCAGATCTTCTTATCCATCCTCATCATCTCAGAAGCTCCCGAACATCCTCAGCTTCCTCAACCGGGTCATCAATACTCTCTTCAGTCTCGCCACGTGCTCTAGACACCTGCCATTACTTCAAGATGCGTTCCGCTATCCTCGTCGCCGCCATCTCTGGCCTTGCTGCCGCCGGCCCTGTCGCTCCCCGTGACACTACTGCCCAGAACGGTATTGATCTGAGTGCTTTCGATGTGAGTCCACACTGCCTGTAAAGCTTCTTTTCTCGCTTCAAGCTGACCCCCAGTACAGGCTGAGCCTGTTCCTACCAAGGTTGGCCCCGCTGTCGGTGCCACCGTCGAGACTCCCACCTACGACCCGGCGGTCGCCAAGGCTGAGGCCTCAAAGGATGCCGCGGCCAACCCCATTGCCGTCTCCAACTCCACCCTGGCCGCCCGTACGGTTACTCCCGCCGGCTGCGGAGCTAAGCAGCCCGACGGCTACGGACCCGTGTCCAGCCCGGATGACTATGCCACCTTCATGAGCGACCCTCAGTTCACTACCATTGCCACCAATGCTCAGGTGCCTGCCGGTTACAGCCTGTCGTTCTCCAACAAGCAGGGCGCCACGGAGTGCAATACCTACTTGGGTCTCTACACCATGAAGACCTTTGACACTATCAAGTGTCAGCAGGTAAAGACAACTTCACCCAGAACAAACATCAAGGAAGCAATATCTAACCGTCAATAGTACTGCGATGCCGCTCCTGCATGCTACGGTATCAACGTCTACATGGAGAGAGACCCCAAGTGGGATCCTACCGATGCGTGCCCCAACCCTGCCAGCATCACCAACTACAAGTGCACCCTCTGGGGTTCCGCCGTCACCGCGGAGACCGCCACCAATGTTGGACAGTGGAGAAACCAGTTCCACGTCGGTGTGACTGGATCGAACGGTACGCAATCCTGATCTTTCCCATGCCAGCTATCGAGAGGGCTAACTGACTCCAAACAGGATACTCCAAGCTTGCGCCTCCCCCTTCTTACCCCGACTTCACCGGTCCTACTGCCTTCGGCGGCGCCACCCAGGCTCCCAAGTCATACATGGGATCCAAGTACTACCCCGGTGTCTACAACCCTGAGCAGTGCGCCGTCGCCTGCAAGGCCAACACCAAGTACGACCACGACCACCCCAGAGCTGACGGCACCTACGATGCCTGCAACTTCTTCAACGCCTACGTCCTCAGCAAGAACAACGTTCCCCAGGGAACTTACTGCTCCCTGTACACCCAGTCCTGGGACAAGTCCTACAGCACCAACGTCGGACAGTGGAGAGGCAGCGACTACTACTCCGTCTCCTCCAGCTACGGATATACTCTTACTGTCCAGGACCCCGGCGTGATCGCTGTTTAAAGGGTCGGTCTTTTTGATGAGCGTCCTACGCTTCTCGAGGCTCTAATCACTTTTTATACTTTCAATGCTTATGAGACCATTGA